TAGTGATGGCTATTTACCAGTCTGATGGCCTTGAGAGACTGAAAAACTGCTTCTCTCGGTCCCCGCTTTGATGCACCTGTACTGACCTCGCCTTCTGGATGATAGCGGAGTGAACAGGCAGTGGCTCGGGTGGTTGATGTCCTTGATGATCTTTTTGGCCTTCCTGTGACTTCGGGTGCTGTAAGTGTCCTGGAGGGCGGGTAGTTTGCCCCCGGTAATGCGTTCGGCAGACCGCACCACCCTCTTTAGAGCCCTGCGGTTGCGGGTGGTGCAGTTGCCGTACCAGGCGGTGATCCAGCCCGACGATGCTCTCAATTGTGCATTGTAAAAGTTTGTGAGGGATTTAGGTGCCAAGCCAAATTTCTTCAGCCTTCTGAGGTTGAAGAGGCTCTGTTGCGCCTTCTTCACCACACTGTCTGTGTGGGTGGACCATTTCAGTTTGTCAGTGATGTGTACGCCAAGGAACTTGAAGCTTTCCACCTTCTCCACTGTGGTCCCGTCGATGTGGATAAGGGGTGCATCTTCTGCTGTTTCCTGAAGTCCACGATCATCTCCTTTGTTTTGTTGACGTTGAGTGAGAGGTTATTTTCCTGGCACCACACTCCCAGAGCCCTCACCTCCTCCCTGTAGGCTGTCTCGTCATTGTTGGTAATCAAGCCTACTACTGTTGTGTCGTCTGCAAACTTGATGATTGAGTTGGAGGCGTGCTTGGCCACGCAGTCATGGGTGAACAGGGAGTACAGGAGTGGGCTGAGCATGCACCCTTGTGGGGCCCCAGTGTTGAGGATCAGTGAAATGGAGGTGTTGTTTCCTACCATCACCACCTGGGGGCGGCCCGTCAGCAAGTCCAGGACCCAGTTGCACAGGGCGGGGTTCAGACCCAGGGCCTAGAGCTTAATGATGAGCTTGGAGGGTATTATGGTGTTGAATGCTGAGCTATAGTCAATGAACAGCATTCTTACATAGGTATTCCTCGTCCAGATTGGATAGGGAAGTGTGCTGGCGATTGCATCGTCTGTGGATCTATTGGGGCGGTAAGCAAATTGAAGTGGGTCTAGGGTGACAGGTATGATCCTTGACTAGTCTCTCAAAGCACTTGACAGAGGTGAGTGCTACAGGGCGATAGTCATTTAGTTCAGTTACCATTGCTTTCTTGGGTACAGGAACAATGGTGGCCATCTCGAAGCATGTGGGGACAGCAGACTGGGATAGGGAGAGATTGAATATGTCCATAAACACACCAGCCAGCTGGTCTGCACATGCTCTGAGGACGGGACAAAGGAAGCCTTGTGAGGGTTAACACGCTTAAATGTCTTACTCACTTCAGCCAAGGAGAAGGACAGCCCACAGTCCTTGGTAGTGGGCTTGCGTCGGTGGCACTGTGTTATCCTCAAAGCGGGCAAAGAAGGCGTTTAGCTTGTCTGGAAGCAAGACGTCGGCGACGTGGCTTGTTTTCCTTTTGTAGTCCGTGATTGTCTGTAGACCCTGCCACATACGTCTCGTGTCTGAGCCGTTGAATTGCGACTCCACTTTGTCGCTATCCTGACGTTTTGCCTGTTTGATTGCCTTGTGGAGTGAATAGCTACACTTTGTATTCTGCCATATTCCCAGTCACCTTGCCATGGTTAAATGCGGTGGTTTGTGCTTTTTGGACGCAGTATTTGCAGAATAACTGCGGTTATACTGCACTCTAACTACAGTTATACTACACTCTGCACTCTGACTGCAATATCTTTTCGTAAGGGTTAGAAAGAGTGACTGCTAAATGCTAACTCCCGTTCGTATAAACTGGTAGCATACATAAATCGGTGGTGGTAGTCAGTCGTTAACTGCAATGCAGTTGACTGTTTAGTTTAGTTTATTTGCACAAATAGAAAGACAGTTTGTAACAGTAAAAAAAAAAAAAAGTATGTGCAGGAGGGGGAAAAAAGCCCAAAAGGGCTTGTCGAGTAACCCCCCTAATAGTAATAAATCACACAGATTCAGAAGTGTGGACAAAAACGATGATATGAACATGTATTGGGGTTGACATCCATACAAGCACTATATTCCGATTTTTACATCAACATAGTGTGAAATACACATAAAAACAATTGCATAAATGTAGGCTAATTTTGCTGGGGGGCAAGAGGTATTTCCATTGTTTGTGTTGAATACCATTACCCTCTTTACCGCATCTATGAATGGGGTAGGCAGACTGGAGCTCCGACGTAACATAAAATTATGTTTTTATCCAAAAATACTGATGTCGTGTGTAATTGCGGGCTGTTCTTTGGATGCTGAAATCAGTCGTTTTGGATAGAAACGTAATTGTATGTAACGTCGGAGCTCCAGTCTGCCCACACTAGTCGCCACTCAACTCCATCGTATCATGGAGTTGAGTTTAATCGACTACTCGCGAACTAGCTACTAACTAGTACTGGGGTTTCTGGAAATAACCGAGTACCCCAAATTCAAGTAGCTAATGTTAGTTAGATAGCTAAAGCTGCATAATACTAAACTTTCAGCAGGCTAGCTACAACTCTCGAGCCACACCGACGCGGGAACTGCAAAATATAGTTAACTTAAAGCTCAATATTTAACCATATCCACATACAAAAACAAATGTTGGCTAAAATAATTTACGTTAACGTTAGCTATCTACGCAATAAGTGGCTAGCCAGCGAGCCACATAACACCGCACACTGTTCAGCACTAGCTAGCTACAAACGCCATCTACACTAACTAAATTCCCGAGCAAATAGGCCTACCATAGCTCACGGGCAAACGAAGTAAGTTAGCTGACATTGTGACAAATTACAACCAATTGTATTTCACCGGTCTTACCTGCCCGTGGTGGGTCTGTTAATGTGAGGACGAAGAGGAGAGAGAGGAGGACGTAACTGCTGCTGTCAGCCTTTGGCAACATTTATCCTCCATTCATAGTAACTCCTCTACTCAGAAATAAAATAAACCTAGACCTGAACCAACGCGTTGGCTTCGACCCTATAAGCACCAAAGATAGTTCCTAGCCATTCAAAGAGTGGTAGAAGTAGTAAACTAAACATACAAATATATGCAATATTGTTAGCAAGCGCGCTAACTAGCTACATCATTATTCGAATGCCCTTATTTTCGTTCGGCCTGTCCAAATGTATTCCAGAACAGAAATAAAACAAGATGGCTCCATTCCTCAGTCACAACAATCCAAAATACCCCACACAGCCTATCAGATTGCGAGTTGGGGGCGGAGTTTTGTAAGGTTTTTGTATACAAATGTGTTACAGTAGCTAACAGAATTGTATCCAGAGTGAAACAGTATTCATTTTTGATTCATTGGTTCGTTTTGAGTGATTGCAAATTAGGCTACACTTGAAATTCAACAACTTCATGGACAACAGATTTTTAAAATAATGTTATAAAAATCTTAAGCATGGGTATTGAAACGTTTCATGAAAAGTAAGGAAGTTATTTTTGATCAATTCACACATTATGAAAAATGTATATATATTCTTAATGTATACATGTAGGCATCATATACAATTCACTCATGTTATAACATTATTTTAGATAACATGCAATGACTGGCAAATGAGCCATGTGCCTAATGGCATACATCAATGACTACTTTTGAGAAATTAAACATTCCTTTATTACGCAAATTAACATGTAATAGAAACAAACTTCATACGTAATTTCCCACGTTAGTGATGATAAATTATAGAATGTTAGTCACACATGGGGTCAATGTTACTATTTTTGATATCCAACGGAGATCAACATGGTGTCAATAATGGTGTAATAAAACATTCACCAAAATAGTTCGGGTCGTCCTATTTAGCCATGGATGACTCACTGGTGCTTAAAAAACGGGGCTATACATTGGGCATCAGTTTAGGCGAGGGGTCGTACGCCAAAGTAAAATCCGCTTATTCCGAGCGTCTGAAGACCAATGTTGCAATCAAAATTATTAACAGAAAAAGGGCGCCGAAGGATTTTTTGGAGAAGTTCTTGCCCCGGGAACTTGAAATTCTTGCATCCCTAAACCACCGCAACATCGTCAAGACCTTCGAGATCTTCGAGACTTCAGAAGGCAAGGTGTACATGATTATGGAGCTTGGTGTGCAAGGGGACCTACTGGAGTTCATCAAATTCAGGGGTGCTTTGCCCGAAGATTTCACCAGAAAACTGTTTAAACAGCTGTCACTTGCAATACAATTTGCACACGCCCTAGATGTTGTTCACAGAGACTTGAAATGTGAAAACCTGCTATTGGACCAAGACTTCAACCTCAAAGTGTCAGACTTTGGATTCGCCAGGAGGATCAATTATGATGATGATGGACAAATGATTCTCAGCAAAACTTTCTGTGGCTCTGCAGCCTATGCATCACCAGAGGTATTACAGGGGGTCCCATACAACCCCAAAGTGTATGACGTTTGGAGTATGGGGGTCGTTCTATTCATAATACTCTGTGGGTCTATGCCCTATGATGACTCCAATATCAAGAAGATGCTGAAGATTCAGAAAGAGCATCGCATTGACTTCCCACGCAGCAAAGCTGTCCCAACAGAGTACAAAGACTTGATATATCGCATGCTTAACCCCGATGTGGCCCGGAGGATAGAGATTGACGATATCCTTGAGCATGTATGGGTGCAGTCAAAATACAAATCACATGATGGTAGTAAGATACGGGAAGATGGGCCTTCCACATCGGAAGCAGCTTGCTCCAAAAAGGAAAGGAAGGGTGAAAGTAGTAAGAATGAAAGTAAGCATCCTCATGGTAATGAGAACAAGAAAGGAGCGAAAGCAGAGGCTGAGGCCGAATCAGAACCTAAACCTTCTGTGGAGAGCAAAGAGGTGGCTGGACCATCTAAGCACGCCAAGAAAAAATCGTCCCCGGATGCAAGGAACAACATCCCTGCTGATTCCTGATGTTGAAATCCTGGATTTATTCCACCTGAATAGTTCATAATAAATGAAGCATACATATTTGTCAAGATGAACCATATATATTTATAGTAAGAAATAAAAAAAAACATTTTCTGTTGAGTCTGCTATGATAAAAGGTGAGTGTCAACATTTGGGGTTTACAAACAAATCACTCCAAGGCATTTTTTTTTGGTTGAGGACTGAAATATTATATTGCAGAAAGAGGCATACAAAATAGAGGCTTACATTTTAACATATTTACAAAAATCAACAAAGACTCATCATAACATTCACCAAGATTAAAATCATATCAGTCTAGGCTATGTACAATTATATAATCTCTTTGGAACCCACAGATTGTAAATTATCCAGTCCAGGTTTCTAACACAGTACATACTATGAATTTCTGTCCAACACCCTAACAGTAATGACCTGAGTTTTCCAACTATCATTGAATTCAGAGTTGGTATTTTGACTCTGCCCTTCACTGTGCACAGACTGTTCCAGCCATAAAAGGCAAGTCCATCAAATCCAGGTGGAGGGCATGAGGTGGGGTAGAGAGCCCACATGGCCAGTAATTTGCATGATGACAACTTGCTTTCAACATGATGTAGGAGTTCACTTCCTCAAGATAACAACTGTTCTTTCTCAGTTTTGCTTTACTCCACTCAGAAGAAGTCAGAGGCTTTCCTCCTCTTGGGAAGCTGCAGTAGGTCGTCTGTGATGGACGCTGGGTCCTGGGAGGCAGGGGTCCTGGCTTTGCTTGGTGTCGGAGTGCCTGAGGGAGTGGCTGGACCACCCAGGGGGGTCTTGGAGCCTGCTCCTCTGTGTGTGGGTGATGGTGTGTAGCTTGCCCTTAGAGCTTTGTCTGTGTATTTGCTGGAGGTCCGGTTTACAAGCCTCTGAAGGGCAGGGGTCAATGCTGGGCTCAGTCCTTTTGGGGTGAGACTGAAAGACAGAAATTAGGTTCAAAATAATTAATAAAAGCATTTTAAAATGACAAAGAATTTTGTATTACAAGAGGTCATAGAATTGAGCTATGAAAAAACATGATATTTTGCAAATACAAAGATCAAAGCAATTTAGGCCTCAATCCGTTTTTACCTTGCAAGGTTTTCTGTGACCTTTCGCAATGCTTCTTGCTTCTTTGCCCGGTTTTTGGCAGCAGCCTCATTGGCCATTTTCAAACCCAACCTCTCTCTTCTTCCTGGTTCTGGAATCTGTGTGTCAGATTATCTCAGGTTAATAAACTGCTCTGAACAAACACTTTTTTTGGGGGGGGGGGGGGGGGGGGGACAGCAAAACAAAACAAGAAAAAATGAACAACTGCCAGTACCTTAAATGATGGGCCGATGTTCCTCTCTTGAAACGGTGAGTCAGACCCATCCAGGCGAAAGGGGGTGCTCTCTATCTCACCCCAGGTCATCAAGGGGGACTCAGCCATACCTGGTAGGACCATATCAGGTTAGGGGAGTTTAGTTTTTATGCAGTTGGAAAAGTTTTATGGAAGCCTCTCTAACAGCACCAAATGTTGGAAAAACAAATATTCTTACCCAATAACTAAGTATTTCTGATAGTTATTTTGTTGTTGAGAATATTGAAAGTGATCTATACTTGAACATAACATAACTACTTACCTGGGGAAGGGCAGGGAGTTCCTTCAAACCCATATCCGTTCACGTTAGGGGAATCCTGGGCATTAAGTTCTTTGCCATCTGGGCCTACTTTACCCTGTTTAAACTGGAGATAAACACTCAGTCAGATAAATCATTCAGGATCAATCCATTTCACTTGATCTTTAGATACCCTGACCTTTCTCTACTTTAAAATCCCTTGACTAAAAATAGGATACAACCATTTACTTAAAACCAATAACTTGTCAGGCAAGCACTTTACCTGTGCATTGAGGGCTGCAGCCTGTTGAAGCTGGCATTTGTTAAGGGCTTTGCTGAAGGGGTCTCCCACAAAGCGAGTGTTCTTGTGAATCACCTCCCTGGGCTTCTTGAAGAGTGTGTCATCCTGGACACCTTATTAAAAAAGACCATGAAGGTATTCATCTCAACTCATACAACATCAAACACAATTCATCATGTACAGTGCCTTCAGAAAGTATTCACACCCCTTGACTTTTTCCACATTTTGTTGTGCAGCCCAAATTCAAAATTGATTAAATATAGATTATTTTTTTTGTCACCGGCCTACACACAATACCCCATAATGTCAAAGTGGAATTATGTTTTTAGATATTTCTACAAATTAATTTAAAATGAAAAGATGAAATGTCTTGAGTCAACAAGTATTCAACCTCTTTGTTATGGCAAAACTAAATAAGTTCAGGAGTAAAAATTTACATTAATAGTGTTTAACATAATTTTTGAATGACTACCTCATCTCTGTACCCCACACAATTACAATTATCTGTAAGGTCCCTCAGTCGAGCAGTGAATTTCAAACACAGATTCAACCACAAAGACCAGGAAGGTTTTCCATTGCCTCTACCTATTGGTAGATGTGTCAAAATAAAAAAACAGACATTGAATATCCCTTTGAGCAAGGTGAAGTTATTAATTACACTTTGGATGGTGTATCAATACACCCAGTCACTACAAAAATACAGGCGTCCTTCCTAACGTAGTTGCCAGAGCCTTTAAAACAATTACAGAGTTTAATGGACTGTGATAGGAGAAAACTGAGGATGGATCAACAAAATTGTAGTTACTCCACAATACTAACTTAATTGACAAAGTTAAAAGAAGGAAGCCTGTACAGAATAAAAATATTCCAAAACATGCATCCTGTTTGCAGTAAGGCACTAAAGTAAAACTGCAAAAAAAATGTGGCAAAGAAATTAACTTTATGTCCTGAATACAAAGCGTTCTGTTTAGGGCAAATCCAACACAACACATCACTGAGTACCACTTCATATTTTCAAGCATGGTGGTGGCTGCATCATGTTATGGATATGCTTATCATCAGCAAGGACTAGGGAGTTTTTTAGGATAAAAATAAAAAGGAATACAGCTAAGCACAGGCAAAATCCTAGAGGAAAACCTGGTTCTGTCTGCTTTCCAAAAAGACACTGGGAGATAAATTCACCTTTCAGCAGGACAATAATATAAAACAGAAGGCACAACATACACTGGAGTTGCTTACCAAGATGACATTGAATGTTCCTGAGTGGACTAGTTAGAGTTTTGACTTAAATCAGCTTGAAAATCTGTGGCAAGACTTGAAATGTCTAGCAATGATCAACAACCAACTTCACAAAGCTTGAAGAATTTAAAAAATAATGTGCAAATATTGTACAATTCTGGGGCCTCATTTATCAATCATGTGTAGGAACAAATCTGTGCGCAAACCATGCGTGTGATCATTTCCACGCAAAGTGTGAGATTTATCAATATGAATGTTTTTTTGAGTGTGTGCATACATTTACGGACAGCCATGACCATGCGTATGCACAGTGCCAAGTCGTGGAACAAGGGAACTGATTGTCAAGCATAGAATTGGGAAAACATAAGTTGAAAATGTTTGAAATTGTGAAAGCAATAATTTAAAATGTTTTTCGATGTAATTGTATTACCATTGTAAACTCATGCATTTGTTACGATAATAATCCATATAAAGTCAAATCAAATTGTATTTGTCACATGCGCCGAATACTAATTCAAGTGCAGTAATTTGTTAAATTAGAGGGACGTGTGAAAGTGAAACCATTGTTGAAATACTATAGAAGACTGAGATAATGGGAAATCGAATGAGAGATGGCTGATCTTGCTCTGTTGGAAGATTTGGCACAGGTTGCATTTAGCAGAGCAAGTTTTTAGAGACAAGTGGTATGTTTTTTTGCAGAAAGTACAGATTGGCTCATCAGATATCGTTTCCCAAAACCAATTTTATAGGATCTTTGCGAGGATTTAAGATCTACTTTAGAAAAGCAAACATAAGAAATGCTGCTGAATGTGGTGGCAAGGTGGCCAGTTGGAACGCACGACTCGTTCATTCAGCAAAACAGCAATTTTGGCCTATACGCCTACATGAGGGAGCAGTTGAGGATGGATGGCTTATTGGTGAATGTTGCCTATTCATTTGAAGTATATTTGCCATAGAGCCCCACAGTGGAGGTGTCATAATACCCATAAAACCTAGCGGTCAAACAGGGAAATGTTTTAAATCGTTTTATCAATATATTCGACTCCATTTACTCTCAGATTCGAAAATGCGAATTAGCACCAAAGTAAGCGGCAGGTAGCTTAGTGGGTAAGAGCGTTGTGCCAGTAACCGAAAGGTCGCTGGTTCTAATCCCCGAGCCGACTAGGTGAAAAATCTGTCGATGTGCCCTTGAGCAAGGCACTTAACCCTAATTGCTCCTGTAAGTCGCTCTGGATAAGAGCGTCTGCTAAATGACTAAAAATGTAAAAATGTAAACATCATGCAAAACTACAAATCCCTGCAAGCTCCTGCACGTAATCTCTAGCTGACACCTTTGCTAACAGGTATTCTGTCAATTTTAAAACGTGCACAAGACAGTTAACAGAATTGTCCATTTAAAGAAATGTAGCCAATTTATTCATTACTACTTTTAACTAACATTAGATAGTTAATCCAGAGATTCTTACCTTTGCCTTGATTCAGCAGTCTCGCCCAGATCATCATGGCATTTGTAGTTCTTTATGATAGCCACATTAGCAGCTAATTAGCGTTTCATTTTTTGGGGGTAAATACAGGCTAATATATTGATAAAAGTCACCTTGTCCTAGAGAGATTTACACAGTTATCAAAACGTCACGCCAGGGTAAGCCTACACAAAACACAGCCCTTATTTTAAGTGTTTCTAAAATCTCCTATGGGAAAAATGAATGGTGGAAAAACAATTGGAACCATTTCCCTGTTTGACCGCTAGGTTTTATGGGTATTATGACTCCTACTGTGGTACTCTATTGCTAAAGCAACTTGAATTGTCCTGATGGTCCTCTCTTTGAAGCTATGTTTTATTTGTGCTGGTCAAGAAACAACTGAGTGAGCCAAATAAAACCCTTTGGTTGTACTCAATCTCTGACACTAGCACCTCTATTTCAGTCTCTGAAAAGTTTTTTTCTTCTAGTTTTTTTTGGTTGCGCTGTTGTATTTCATGGTACGGCATTGTATATTCCCCATGTTCTTTAAAGGGATGATTTTTACCATATATGGTTAATTAGGGGCGTTTCGAAATGCAAATAGCCAAGGTCGTGCACAAGCACTGAGGCCGAGAATAATTGGTATTTAACAATGGTTATCTCCTATCGGTGTGCGTATGACGCTCGTAGGATTGTTTGATAAATCACACTTCTTCCATACGTACAAACAATTAAAATTCCATTCCTAAGGAGTATTTTAGAATCGTTTCTACGCAATATTGATAAATGAGGCCCCAGGTGTGCAAAGCACTTAGAGACTTACCCAGAAAGACCCATAGCTGCAATCGCAGCCAAAGGGGATTCTAACATGTATTGACTCAGGGGTGTGAATACTTATGTAAATGAGATATTTTTGTATTTCCTTTTAAATACATTTGCAAAAATGTCTAAAAACATGTTTTCACTTTGTCATTACGGGGTATTGTGTGTAGAAAAAATATATATTTAGTCCATTTTGAATTAAGGCTGTAACACCACATTTTTTTGAATAAGTCAAGGGGTATGAATACTTTCTGAAGGCACTGTAAGTAAGTACCAGCTTAGCCTATAGCAGGGATCATCAACTAGATTCAGCCGCAAGCCTATTTTTTTCTTGAGCGGATGGTCGGGGGGCCGGAACATAATTACAATTAATTTGTAGACGGTAAATTGACCACAAGAAGCCCAAACAGATATAATGCTCGACTAAAACATAATAATTTCAAACCTTGCTTACATTTGTATACGATCACATCTCTCTATTATCTGAGGGAATACTTGGGAACAGATTTCTTAAATTAAAATCACTTGTAGCTGATTCTGTTGTTTTTAGTCTATTATGTCCAACAACAAAACACTTTTAAAAAAACAATTGTTTTTTTTGCTCAGAAAACTTGGGGGACCAAATAAAACCACCCATATTTGGCCCGTGGGCCGCCAGTTGAGGAACCCTGGCCTATAGTATACATAATATGGTGTTCGTATGTGCGACTCCGTGGCTTTATGCACCCCATACAAAGCACATTATAATCAAGCAAGATAAAAGGAACATTTCTCATGCAGGAAAATAACTGTTTGTCTCATCCATTATAAAAACATCAATCCTCACCCTCCGGATAGTACATAAGGGCATTCTTTGCTTTGTACTCCCAGGTCTCCAGTCCTGCCTTTACACACTCAAGGGCCTGCTTCTCTGATGACGGAAGTGCAAGGTTTTCTTCATGCCGCTAAAACAAGAAACATGCTGTTATAACATATGTTGCTTTCATATATAACATATATCATTGCTTTCAACTCATGAAATAACACTCCAGGAGCATTACATACTACAACATTTGAGTAGGGTGCAATTCACATGTGATCAAATGAGAGTTTATGGCAAGTGTACCTGTTTAAATTCAGCCTCTGCCTCATACAGCCACGCATGCCTCAACTTCTCCTTGTCTTCTGCTAGAACCATGATCTGCTCAAAGGATGCATTATCCTCGCTTGTGTTCTTAGCCAGGAAACGATCAAGACAGGGCAGCTCTTTCTCTTCCTCGTCTCCTTCCTTATTCACTACAAACACACAATATTAACACAGGGAATACATCTTACTGCTGTAATTGAGTTATTTACATAGTACTATAAGAAATCAACGACCAATTACCACTAGATTATAACGGCTGGAAGTTCTATTTTCTAAATAGTATTGAGAGCCATTGTAAAGTTGGGTGTCCTTAAGCTAAGCATACATTATAGGACAACAAAAATCTTTACATCTGGGGAGCAGTCACATTATGCAAATTGTCTACATCATCTTGTAATCCTAAAGTCTGCAACTGGTGTGCTCACATTACACGAGTTTGCTCACATTGCAACCTGCCTAGATTCCACCAAATCCTGTGATTTCCTGATGCGTCATCGTTGCCCTCCTACTCTGTGGCTGTAGCCGAGCAACAGATTACAAGTTGCACAAGTCGTATCGTAGCACAAATCAAATCATATTTTATTTGTCACATGCTTTGTAAACAACAGGTGTAGACTAACAGTGAAATGCTTACTTAAGGGCGCTTCCCAAAAATGCAGAGAAAGAAAACAGAGAAATAATAGAAAAGTAAAACACGTCATAGTAAAAGTACCGTAATAATAAATACACAGTGAGTAATGATTACTTTGCTATATACACAGGGTACTAGTACCGATTCGATGTGCAGGGGTATGAGGTAATTGAGGTAGATATGTACATATAACTAGGAATAAAGTGACAGATAATAAACAGTAGCAGCAGCGTATGTGAGGAGTCAAAAAAGTTTGTACAAAAAGGGTTAATGTAGATAGTTAAATAGTTAACCAAATAGCTACCCGGACTAACTATTTAGCAGTCTTATGGGATGGCTTGGGAGTAGAAGCTGTTCAGGGTCCTGTTGGTTCCAGCTTTGGTGCATCGGTACCACTTGCCGTGCGGTAGCAGAGAGAACAGTCTATGACTTGGGTGTCAGGAGTCTGACAGTTTTTAAGGCTTCCTCTGACACCACCTGGTATAGAGGTCCTGGATGGCAGGTAGTTCGGCGCCAGTGATGTACTGGGCTGTACGCACTACCCTCTGTAGCGCCTTGCAGTTGCCATACCAAGCGGTGATGCAGCCAGTCAAGATGCTCTTAATGGTGTAGCTGTATAACTTTTTGAGGATCTGAGGGCCCATGCCAAATCTTTTCAGCCTCCTGAGGGAGAAGAGGTGTTGTCTTGCTCTCTTCACGACTGGTGTGGTTGGACCATGATCCTTAGTGATGTGGACTCAGAGGTACTTGAAGCTCTCGACCCGCGCCACTACAGCCCTGTCGATGTGAATGGGGCGTGCTCTGCCCTCCATTTTGTAGTCCACACTCAGCTCCTTTGTCTTGCTGACATTGAGGGAGAGGTTTTTCTCCTGGCACCACACTACCAGGTCTCTGACCTCCTATAGTCTGTCTCATCGTCGTCGGTGATCAGGCCTACCACCGTTGTGTCGTCAGCAAACTTAATGATGGTGTTGGAGTCGTGTGTCCACGCAGTCAATGGGTGAACAGGGAGTACAGAAGGGGTCTAAGCATGCACCCCTGAGGTATTTGGTATTTTTGGTATTTTATTAGGATCCCTATTAGCTGTTGCAAAAGCAGCAGCTACTCTTCCTGGGGTCCACACAAAACATGAAACATGACATAAACCAGAACATTAATAGACAAGAACAGCTCAAGGACAGAACTAAAGGCACACGTAGCCTACATATCAATACTTACACACAAACTATCTAGGTCAAATAGGAGAGAGGTGTTGTGCCGTGAGGTGTTGCTTTATTTGTTTTTTGAAACCAGGTTTGCTGTTTATTTGAGCAATATGAGATGGCTCTATATAATACTGGACTATGCAAACAATTTGGGATTTTCAACACATTCATGTTTCTTATAAAAAGAAGAAGTGATGCAGTCAGTCTCTCCTCAAATCTTAGCCAAGAGAGACTGGCATGCATAGTATTTATATCAGCCCTATGATTACAATGAAGAGCAAGACGTGCCGCTGTGTTTTGGGCCAGCTGCAGCTTAACTAGGTATTTTATTTCCGCACTGGACCACACGACTGGACATTAATCAAGATTAGACTAAACTAGAGCCTGCAGAACTTGCTTTTTGGAGTGTGGTGTCAAAAAAGCAGAGCATCTCTTTATTACAGACGGACCTCTCCCCATCTTTACAACCATTGAATCTATATGTTTTGACCATGATAGTTTACAATCTAAGGTAACGTCAAGTAATTTAGTCTCCTCAACTTGTTCAACAGCCACACCATTCATTACCAGATTCAGTTGAGGTCTAGAACTTAGGGAATGATTTGTACCAAATACAATGCTCTTAGTTTTAGAGATGTTCAGGACCAGTTTATTACTGGCCACCCATTCCAAAACAGACTGCAACTCTTTGTTAAGGGTTTCGGTGACTTCATTAGCTGTGGTTGCTGATGCGTATATGGTTGAATCATCAGCATACATGGACACACATGCTTTGTTTAATGCCAGTGGCAGGTCATTGGTAAAAATAGAAAAGAGTAGAGGGCCTAAAGAGCTGCCCTGTGGTACACCACACTTTACATGTTTGACATTAGAGAAGCTTCCATAAAAAAAACTCGAGTTCTATTAGATAGATAGCTCTGAATCCACGATATGGCAGAGTTTGAAAAGCCATAACACATACGTTTTTTTCAACAACAGGTTATGGTCAATAATATCAAAGGCTGCACTGAACTCTAACAGTACAGCTCCCACCATTTTCTTATTATCAATTTCTTTCAACCAATCATCAGTAATTTGTGTCAGTGCAGTACATGTTGAGTGCCCTTCCCTATAAGCATGTTGAAAGTATGTTGTTCATTTGTTTACAGAGAAATAGCATTTTATTTTGTCAAACACAATTTTTGCAACAGTTTGCTAAGAGCTGGCAGCAAGCTTATAGGTCTACTGTTAGAACCAGTAAAGGCCACTTTACCATTCTTGGGTAGTGGAATTACTTTGGCTTCCCTCCAGGCCTGAGGACAAAGACTTTCCTCTAGGCTCAGATTAAAGATATGACAGATATGAGTGGCTATAGAGTCAGCTACCATCCTCGGTAGCTTTCCATCTAAGTTGTCAATGCCAGGAGGTTTGTCATTATTGATCGATAACAATAATTTTTCCACCTCTCCCACACTAACGTTACAAAATTCAAACTTGCAATGCTTTTCTTTCATCATTTGTTTTTTTATGCATGAATACGATGGCTCATTGTTGGCCTTTCCTGCCTAAGTTTGCCCACTTTGCCAATGAAGTAATCATTAAAATAATTGGCAACATCAAATGGTTTTGTGATGAATAACCCATCTGATTTGATGAAAGATGGAGTTGAATTTGTCTTTCTACCAATCATTTCATTTAAAGTACTCCAAAGTTTTTTTCCATCATTCTTTATATCATTGATCTTGGCTTCATAATATAGTTTCTTCTTCTTTTTGTTGAGTTTAGACACATAATTTCTCAATTTGTAGTAAGTCAACCAGTCAGATGTGCAGCCAGATTTATTAGCCACTCCTTTTGCCCCATCTCTTTCAACCATACAGTTTTTCAATTCCTCATCAATCCATGGAGCCTTTACAGTTCTAACAGTCAGTTTCCTAACAGGTGCATGTTTATCAATACTTGGAAGAAGCAATTTCATAAATTCATCAAGTGCAGCATCTGGATGCTCCTTTTTAATCACATCATCCACATATGAGTCACAGCAAAATCTTTGGTATGATTTCTTATACACTATTTTAGGCACAGTTGTTTGAACTTTGGCTTTCCTGGATATAGCCACTATATTGTGATCACTGCATCCAGTGGGTACAGATACAGCTTTAGAACAAAGTTCTACAGTATTAGTACAAATGTGATTGATACATGTGGATGATCTTGTTCCTGTAGTGTTTGTAAACACCCTGGTAGGTTGATTAATAACCTGAACCAGATTACAGGCACTGGTTACAGTAAGAAGCTTCCTCTTGAGCGGACAGCTTGATGAAAACCAGTCAATATTCAGGTCCCCAAGAAAGTAGACCTCTTTGTTTACATCACATACACTATCAAGCATTCCACATATATTATTTAAATACTGACTGTTCGCACTTGGCTTATAGCAACACCTCAAAAGAAAAGGCTTTAGATGTGGCAAGGGAACCTGCAACCACAACACTTCAATAACACTTGACATAAGATCTTCTCTAAGCATTACAGGGATATGGCTCTGAATATATACAGCAACACCTCCCCCATAAGCATTTCTGTCTCTTCTATAGATGTTATATTCTTGTATTGCTACTGCTGTATCATCAAATGAATTATCTAAGTGAGTCTCAGAAATGGCTAATATATGAATGTTATCTGATGTTAGCAAGTTTTTGATTTATTTCTAAGGCTACATATATTAATATGGGCTATTTTCAGCCCTTTCCTGGGTAGTTTATCAGAGATAGACATAATACTGGAAAGAGCAAACAAAGCAAGAGAAAAATACATACATTCAGCAGTCCATTAATCAATTGGTGTGTGTGTGTGTGTGCTGTGGGGTTGAAGCTACGAACCCATAGGCTTGGCTCTCTCATCCTTTCCAGGTTTCTGGGAGGGAGGGTGGACAATGAGCTTGTCAAAGCGGATGTAAGCAATGTCCCCACGCGCTCTGGCAGCTTTCATGGCTGGGATAAGTTCTTTCCTCTTCTGGCGCACAGCTTCAGGATAGTCCTCGTTGAGAAAGATATACGTTCCTCTCAAGTTCTTGGCTCTTTCTAGAACAGCTACCTTGTCCTTGAACCTCAAGAACTTGACCACTATTGGCCTGGGCCGGTGGTGGATTTTCCAGTCCTGTGGGCACGATCCACCTCAATCTTCCTGTGGTCCATCTTCAATTTCTCAGAGATCATTTCCCTCACTTTGTCCTCAGACTCCGTCCAGGTCTCATGTGGAGATTCTGCAATTCCGTCCACAACCATGTTGTTACGCCTTGATTGTCCCTCTGATTTATCCGTCATTGTTATCATGGATTCACAGACAGAACTGATGTCCTCTCTCAATGACTTACAGATTGCTGTAATCTTGCCGTTTTCCTGTTTCAACTCATCGAGCTGACCATGGGAGAACTGCAAACTGTTCTTTAGGTCCTGGACCTCTCTGGTCAGGTCTTGTCCATTCTTTTATTAGTTGAATCCACCAGTATTTGGACAAAGCACTTGAAGCTATTTTCTTGTTGTTGTAACAACTGCTTGTAGAACTCTTTTTGTTCGTTTAAAAGAGCCTTCACGTGTGATAGAGACACCACTGTCCTCGACAACGGTACTCCTGCCGGCTTTGGTCTTTGTCATGGTAGCTAGCAACGCAGGTTACGCTGTTACTCCTCGCAGTTCCAGACAGGGCAGGTCACAGGGAAGATTGAAAACAACAAACAGCAGGAATCTAGACATCCACAAACCCGGGACAATCCGCGGTCCCAGCCACAATGGCTAACCGCGTCGCGGGCTGCGTTCAAGCCCTCAAGAAAACCCTGCTAGCTTGATATGCTGCTAGCTAGCAGCTAGGCTAGCTGCAAAGCCAAATAGCTCCTCAGACCCGTCCTTGGTCAGCAGGATCACTGGACAGAGACTAGCAATCCCAGCAACTGATGTCAACTGTGTCGCGGGAGCCAAACTAAAAAGTTAGCTAGCTATAAAGAACTTCCCAATACACTTTCAAAACAACAAACTTGGGGGAGGCCCATCAGGAAGTCCAGGATCCAGTTGCAGAGGGAGGTTTTCAGTCCCAGGGTCCTTAGCTTAGTGATGAGCTTGAAAGGCACTATGGTGTTGAACACTGAGCTGTAGTCAATTAACAGCATTCTCATGTAGGTGTTCCTCTTGTCCAGGTGGGAAAGGGCAGTGTGGGGTGCAATAGAGACTGCATCATCTGTGGGTCTGTTGGGGCGGTATGAGAATTGGAGTGGGTCCAGGGTGTCTGGGATGATGGTGTTGATGTGAGCCATGACCAGCCTTTCAAAGCATTTCATGGCTAAAGATGTGGTCTGCTTGAAACATGTAGGTATTACAGACTGGGTCTGGGAGAGGTTGAAAACGTCTGTGAAGACAATTGACAGCTGGTCAGCGCACCCCCTCACTACAAAAGATACGACCAAAAATGTCTGGTATGTCAGAAAAATAAATCGGGACCTAAGATGCACAACGGGAAAGCGCAAGACCCAAAATCGCACATCTTTCACCCGCTCACATTATGCGACCTACAACGTCTTGGTCAGAGCCTACGACTTTAGAATTTACCTGTGATTCCAGAAATGAGTTGTGGATCCCAAATCGTTGCAAAATCGCAGTTTAAAATTATGTAATGTATGACTTCAGACAGAATAGTGCCATTTTTAGTCACAATGGTGAACAAGAACTTACCCCCATCTGCTCCTTTCTTGTTTTTGCCCAGTATAGAAGAGGGAGACCCAGGACAACCCTCTGGTGTCTCAAAGGAAGCTGGAGTAACATCTAAACAAACCAGTGGGGGGGGGGGCATATTATTATAGCACCACTCCTGCATTCATAGACAACCAGTACATTATGTGGAAAAGAGTTTCCTTGACAGTTTACTTATCATCTTACTCACATGGGGCAGTGGAGCGTGGTGTGGACTTGGCTAAAGATGACCCATACTTAATGGATATTTCCCGCATCTTCCCAAGATCCCCATTTTCCTCAGCTTCGAGGTAGTCCTTCTGCGCTTGTAACTTGGTTACATCTGGGAAAAAGTCCCTCTGGATGATCTTCTCTAAACTCTGTTGAAAGTCATACAAAACAGACAAGTTAGGAAGACACTGGCAACTATCAACATGGCCTAGCCACAACACACACAGCACATACTAAACAACGAGGTTGTATGTATAACATCACCACTATGTTTGTTCAATCACCTTTATCTGTATTGACCTTAAAACGTAGATTTGCAGCAACACTGTAAACCTATTGTATTATTAGACAGCTGCAGGTAGGCTAGAATGAGCACTGGCTAACTAGCTAGCTTAGCAGTCTGTTCCACAACGGCAACGTTAAGTTACCTCTATGTAGTTTTCTTCATCGAGAACCTTTCGATTTGTTTTCTTTGTTTCCTCGGGTGGCTGTCGAAGAGCAACTGTTGTGACAGGATTAGCTGGGACAAGGGTTCCAGGCATCAGCGCCTTTCCAAATCCTTCCATTGTCGGTGGCTAGAAGAAGCTAGCGAAAAGGTCTCTGGGGGCCTTGACTCTGTTAACGTTAGCTAGCTAGCAAACAAAACAAAACCTCGCTGAATGTAAATAATCCAGTTATAAACTAAAAAGACTCTCTGAAAATAGAAGTGTATGAATACCTTACTTTAATTCGCGTAGTTATAATATCAATAGTTCTTAGTTGATGTTTTGCTAATCAAGGAACCTCATGCGAAGAACGTATACGCGTGACGTCACCAGAAATATGGCAGTGACGTTTTTAGAATTAATATAGCCTCATTGTTGCATTGGATGCAAAGTATCCAAAAATGTCTACATGATGGCCATATCCGGCACAATCTTCTAGTTTTCCAGGTTTCGCACACCAAATGCTGTTCTTTTTTGTCGCCTCCACTTCGCTCTTCGGTTTTTAAACCACACCTATCGAAATAAAATAAAATTAGGCTACATTGACTACACGTTTTAAACGTAATAAAACAGATTTAAACCCTGACAACAAACAAAAAACATTTAGCTGCCTACCTCTACTCGCTCTTCGCGTAAATGAGTGCTCTGTGCTAGTTTTTCCCGCGTTTTCACATCTGGATACTGGTTCTGAAGGAACAGCTCCTCCAGAGCGTCCAGCTGATCCTCGGTGAATATGGTGCGGTGTCGCCTGGTGCGCCTCTGGACCTGACTGAAGGACTGCTCCTCTCTGGGAGTATTTCCTCCTGGCCTGCATGGCTCCGGAAACATTCTTCTGGACCATGCATACTGGCATGCTGAATTAAAATAACTTTACATGTAAGTGTTTTTATTTTTGAATCATATTTTTTCTCACAACAAATACAAACATACACATACGAACAACATCTTACAACTTTACATGTAAGTGTGTTAGGCACATTGATTTCAGGTCAAAGCATGAACATATAGGCCTTCATGGCTAATGGGAAAAACAACTGAACTGCTTTAGACATCATAATTAAACAAACAGATATTGAGAGAGAAAAATGAAGCGTGATCATAGTGTCAAAATTGTCATAGGTTTAGGTCTTACTTTCAGGAGGATAGTCAGCCTGGAACACCTCTCCACAGTGTGAGCAGTAGCAGCAGCATGAGCAGGTGTGCTGTGGATGTTCTATGTGGCTCCCAGCAGGAATACTCTGTGATCTTGCTCCATCCTCACCTGGTACAGGGTTGTGGGTGGCACCATACTGCCTGCTCTCCTCAATGTTACTCGGAAATCTGTTCAGTATATTGTCAATGGTGAATGGAAACTTCTGTCTCTCCATCCTACTTGACCCCTCCATGACAAGCTTTCTGCCCAAAGAATTCACTTGAAATTCAAACTAGTGTTTAAAGTGCCAGCCAAGGCATCCAGTTAATGCTTCTGGGTAAAGCATATGCCATACAGTAATCCTCTCCCTTCTCCACTGTGCTCAACGACAGACCCACTCGTTCTCATTTTATAAGAGACATTTGACAGAGAAAGAGAGAGCAAAAAACATAATCCCCCTATAGACCAGACACATATAAAATGGTTGAAACTTAATTCCCAGCTAATCTGGGCAGTTTTTTGTGGGGGTTAGGGAGGATGGGGGATTCAGCTAATCTGGCCCCATTGCTTTGCTTTCGGGAAAAAAATCTGATTTCACTGTATTAAATTAGGGGTAGAGAGCTTCTAAGATCCTTATTGTTGTGGTTTTAGAGAAAAAGAGATTGCTTGGTATTAGAAACCTGGACTTAAAGATGAACCTTTTGGTGTGACCAAGGACCTATTGGGTATTAGCCCCTGAATTCCTTTCTTCACAACACTTGCAGTCCTCGTTTGTTTGAGTTCACCAACAAAATTCACACAGTTCTATTTATTTTATATACATTTAGAGGGATTCACCATTTAAAAACAAAACACAACAGCAGAGTTTATCTCCCTAGTTTTCAATCAATCTGAATCATACAGTTCCAATACGAAGGTCTACGACGTGTTTACAATCTTTATTGATCCTTTGTATAGAGACAATTGAATTTGGTCATTTTTGTTGTCACAGTACCCAGCCTCACCACACAACACAGGCTGGGAGCAGCATTCCGCATGTTTCAACATAACAGCCATTCACAAAGGGAGCATATTCAGAGATTAAATATCAGTCAAAATGTACAGGTATGGATAGCCAAGGCTTCTGACAATCTCTCTGTTAGTATTCACAGCATGAGTACTGGGCCGTATCTATGAAGTGCAGTCATTCAGTCTGACTTCTCTGACAATGTGCACGGCTGAGGTAAAGCTATTACAGGTTGTATTTATTCTCCAACAAATCCTTTGATTTCATATAAGGGAACACACCTTTTTATCAAGGAATTAATGGATTTTCAGAATCTGTCCTAAGCTCCTCAGATAAGGGGCGTTTGAAAACAGATAACAATAAACACCACCTCATCCCTTTCACTGGGGTTTAATGGCCAGCAGGATTGTTGATGTATCGTTTTTTGAGTTGTTGAGATAGCTATCTCTGGTCTTTGTGATTTTTCAAAGGAAGACTTTGTATCACATCCACATTGGTTCAATGGTGTTAAGTTCATTACCAGGGATTAGTATGATAAAAGCACCTTATATTGTTGTTGTCAAAGGCATTGGTGTGTAAAAACTTCAAATCCTCTTACAGAAAACATACAAAACATAAATCAAAACCACTAACACATGCTTGCCCAACAGCACAATCTAACAGTGCAGGATATAGCTGGAAGATTGGTTTGACCAAGATTATTTTCTAGACGAGCATCAAAATATGTTAACTTCTGAAGTAGGTAGCAGAGAAATGGCATATATCAATTGAATCATCTTCTGTGTTTGCAGTAACCAGCAGCCAATTGTTAGGCGGATCAGGGTTATTTATAAACTCTGAATGTGGTGCCAAATGATTGAGATTGTCACACATTTTCAAGTGAATGCGGAATGGTTTGCATACTGTTCCGTTTAGCCTACAAAGAAACAGTATGAGGCAGAGTACAAAATTGCTGCAGTGCCACTGACAGCCATGGTGCACAAATATTTGTTCTAGGTACATGATGCAAAACTGTTTCAGTATGGGGTTATTCCACCTTCTTAAGCGTTATTGAATGTGTTGTATCATACTTTCTTTATCCCAAACGTAAAGGTCAGTTGCAGTTTTAAAGCACTTTTCTGCAATGGGGCAGAGAAAAACTATGGATTTTTTATAACACATTTCATTTTATTTTTGCCATGAGGCAGAGAGAACATTGTTGCAGTTTTACAGCAAAGTACCTGCAATTCTAACCATTTTGTAATCACCTATGCCATGTTAATACGATATCTGAGAGAGAATGACTAACAAAATCAATGGGTGCCCCCTGGAGGTCAGGGCCCCTGGGTACGTTCCCTGCGTGCCCAGTCGGTATTCAGCCATGACTACTACAACTTTAGATAGCTGGCTAGACTAACTACAAATCATAAAATTGTTAGCTGACATGGCTAATTGAGTGACTGACATAACAAAATAAAAACTGCTGATGCACAACCACATTTCTAAATTGCAGCTGGTGTATTCTACTCATCTTACTCTCAATGGTAAGTTGAGACTCCGTCTGAGTAAAAAAAATTAAAAATATCATTTTTTTAAAATATATATACAGTATATACACACACACACACACACATATATATATAGTGCATTTGGAAAGTATTCAGACCCCTTTACTTTTTCCAAATTTTGTTACGTTACAGCCTTATTCTAAAATTGATTACATTTGGATTTCTTCCTCATCAACCTATAATGACAAATAATAACCCATAATGACAAAGTGAAAACAGGTTTTTAGAAATGTTTGCAAATGTATTACAAATAAAAAACAGATATCTTATTTACATAAGTACTCATACCCTTTGCAATGAGACTCGAAATTGAGCTCAAGTGCATCCTGTTTCCATTGATCATCCTTAAGTTGTTCCTACAACTTGATTGGAGTCCACCTGTGGTAAACGCAATTGACTGGACATGATTTGGAAAGGCACACACCTGTCTATATAAGGTCCCACAGTTGACAGTGCATGTCAGAGCAAAAACCAAGCCATGAGGTCGAAAGAATTGTCCGTAGAGCTCCAAGACAGGATTGTGTCCAGGCACAGATCTGGGGAAGGGTACCAAAACATTTCTGCAGCATTGAAGGTCCCCAAGAACACAGTGGCCTCCATCATTCTTAAATGGAATACGTTTGGAACCACAAAGACTCTTCCTAGAGCTGGCTGCCCGGCCAAACTGAGCACTCGGGGGAGAAGGACCTTGGTCAGGGAGGTGACCAAGAACCCGATGGTCACTCTGACAGAGCTCCAGAGTTCCTCTGTGGAGATGGGAGAACCTTCCAGAAGGACAACCATCTCTGCAGCACTCCACCAATCAGGCCTTTATGGTAGTGGCCAGACGGAAGCCACTCCTCAGTAAAAGGCACATGACAGCCCGCTTGGAGTTTGCCAAAAGGCACCTAAAGGACTCTCAGACCATGAGAAACAAGATTCTCTGGTCTGATGAAACCAAGATTCAACTCTTTGGCCTGAATGCCAAGCGTCACGTCTGGAGGAAACCTGGCACCATCCCTAGGGTGAAGCATGGTGGTGGCAGCATCATGCTGTGGGGATGTTTTTCAGCGGCAGGGACTGGGAGATTAGTCAGGATCGAAGGAAAGCTGAACGAAGCAAGGTACAGAGAGATCCTTGATGAAAACCTGCTCCAAAGCACTCAGGACCTCAGACAGGGGCGAAGGTTCACCTTCCAACAGGACAACGCAGGAGTGAAAGAAAGAGACAATAGGGTGGCTATATGTGAGGCTACACACTGTATGCTATAGGCCTAAGGCTGCCTTTAGTGAGAATTTGGGCTAAAACAACGGTATGTAGAACAATCTAGGCAATGCATGAACACAGCAATGTTGAAAGAGTGGCAAGGGGTCAGCAATTATCAACCCAGGCCACCCAAAGATGACGTGAACAAATCATTCTACAAATAACTGGCAGTAGCCAGGAGACCGGCCTGGAGTAGTAATTCTTAGTACCGAATCATTATAGCAAGAGGACCTTGAACACGGGATACCATACAGTAGATAGCAAAGGAGCTGTTTACCCCGAGAAGTTGGAGAGTTTGCTAGAAATAAAATGTGCTCATGATTGAAAGAAAAAATGCTTGTGAACGTACAGTTCTATTTTATGTACCATAGATAGTTTATTAGTTAATTTTCCCAGTGGAATTTCCAGCTCTCAGATTTTTACTGTTTTAATCTTGTTTATATTATTTATGGCTATACATTTATTTATGGCTATAAAGCTACTTAAATTACCTAATTAATATTTTGTAAACATACAGTAGGCGGGCATTAAATGTGATATGGATTATTACATTTATTTCAGTAAATGTAACACTGTAATCTTAATTTTCTCAATTGTATGCTGGAGGCTAATAACTTTCATGTTGTCTGTTGTACAGTGCCCTCCGTAATTATTGGCACAGTGAAGCATTTTTTCTTATTTTGGCTCTATACTCCAGAAGTTTGGATTTGAAATCAAACAATGACTATGAGGTTAAAGTGCAGACTGTCAGATTTAATTTGAGGGTACTTACATCAATATCGGGTGAACCGTTAAGGAATTACAGCACTTTTTGTGCATAGTCCCCCCCATTTTAGGGTAGCAAATGTATTGGGACAAATTAACTTATATGTGTATTAAAGTAGTACAAAGTTAAGTAGTTGGTCCCATATTCATAGCACGCAATGACCACATCAAGCTTGTGACTCTACACATTTGTTGGAAGTGTTTTTTCTGTTTATTTAGGTTGTTTCAGATTATTGTGTGCCCAATAGAAATGAATGGTAAATAATGTAGTGTCATTTTGGAGTCACTTATTGTAAATCAGAATATAATATATTTCTAAATACTTCTACGTGAATGGTGATACTACCATGATTACAGATAATCCTGAATGAATCTTGAATAATGAATCGTGATACAGTTAGACGCACAAATATCATACCCCCCCAAAATGCTAACCTCCCCTGTTATTGTTATGGTGAGAAGTTAGCATGTCTTGGGGGTATGATATTTTTGTGTCTAACTTTCTCACTAATCACAAAGACATGTAAAGATGTATATGAACACTTGGTACTGTTCTTTATTTTGTGGATGTTATCTGACTACAGCAGCTGTCCCACAGTCCTCCGTGTCCTCTGGTGATGCTCGGCATGAGCAGAATGACGAGCCTCCTGCTCAGGGACAATGTGGGGCTCAGTCAGCGTGTCCGAACTGGGCTCAAGAAGAAGGACTTGGGAGTGCTCGGTAAATACTTGCAATATTTCCATAATGAGCTGAATGCACAGAAATACACATTTCACATCAAATATTAGAATAGATCATAGTCTTGGTAAGATATGTATTAGTGATAATGTCTTTCACCGTGATATTTTGTGTATGTGTATCTAAAAATTCCAGGTTATGTCTTAGCAACCATGCTAATGGCCATCATCGTACTGCTGGGATCAGGCATAACAGCCGGTTACTTCTACAAGAGGTCAGCTGAAGGCGGGAAATTAATTCCTCAGACATTCCACATGCATAGGAATGGAGAGAAACAAGGAAGGACGTAGAGAAACAAATGACTGCGACTCTCAGCCGTCATAAAGGCGGTCTCACATTTTCATGGTATAAGATATCACTGCATGGATCATGGAGATCTATATTTAGCCAGCCAATCTGATTAACCGTTTGCATGATTATGATCTTAGGTCATCAAAGTTCAGTAGTTCAGCATTTTATAACTCATTTCTTATACAAGGATTCAGTTGTCATCATTCAATTAGTTCAGAGAGGGATTAGCAGTGAACAACAGTTTGGAGCCAAATGAAGCAAAGTGAGATGATCTATTCAACAATTATGTGAATGGATATTAAACAGGGGCCTGACTTGTGTCTTTATACCCAGGGACCAGATGCTCAAGAGGCAGCAGGAACAAGAGGCAAGTGAGCGGGAGTTGCAGCGGATCAACCTGCCTCTCTCTGGTTTCTCCAACCAGGCATGTGAAATAATGGATGAGAATATGGTGGCAGTCTGTGTCCAACACCTGCTGAAGAGGAGGAAAGGGTGCGAGAGGAAGGGGAGGGGGACGGGGAGGGTGGTTGTGGACCCCGTAATGGACCAGGCAGGTACCGCTAATGGACCAGGCAGGTACCCCAGAGGTGTGAGAGGAGCAGGACGGACAGATGTGTTGTGGAATGATGCCCTTTCTCCTTCATTTTCTAATGCTGTTTTTGAACACAGCATGTAAAAACTAAAATTCAAAATAATGGGAATGGTACAGAAAAGGTCTCAGGACTGCTTGGACTGACTACACACAAATACTTTTGGAGTTGTAGGAGCAATGGAAGATTTTTTAATTTTATTTAACCTTTATTTAACTAGGCAAGTCAGTTAAGAACATATTCTTTTTTACAATGACAGCCTACCAAAAGGCCTCCTGCGGGGACGACGGCTGGGATAAAAAAATTAAATATAGGACAAAACACACATCACGACAAGAGAGACACCACAACACTACATAAAGAGAGACACCACAACACTACATAAAGAGAGACCTAAGACAGCAACATAGCATGGCAGCAACACATGACAACACAGCATGGTAGCAACACAACATGACAACAACATAGTAGCAACACAACATGGCAGCAGCACAACATGGTAGCAACACAAAAAATGGAACAAACATTATTGGGCACAGACAACAGCACAAAGGTCAAGAAGGTAGAAACAATAATACATCACACGAAGCAGCCACAACTGTCAGTAAGAGTTGAAGATGTATCTACACAGTGTAATTATGGGTCTTCAGTGGTATAGGCTATTACTATATGTTGAATATATGCTAGTAAAGGCCTACAGTATTTAGTAAACTGTTACTTTTATTTTAAGACTGATTTAGATAAAATTATGCTTTCTTAATTAATTAAACATCCAATCGCATTATATTTTATATAATTTTCCTGCAGCTCCACTAATGTCTGAGCTGATATGCCAGTTGTCATGTTACACAATCAGATATTTAGAAAATTGAAATAGTTACTTGAAATGAGACAGCATTTGCACAGATTTTTTCCCTAGTTTGTTTGCACTTAATTTATTATCCACATTTGCTTAGCTATAGCCTGTTTGGTATATTATGTATATTTATGAGAGTTAGGTTGACACTGATGAGCACACCTTCAGGACAGGTGTCCTAGATATGGGTTATAAGGTTGCTAAGTGCTTTGTTTGGGTGTCCTCGGTCTAAAAGTATTCAGAACACGGGATTGTACTGCCCTCTTGTGATGAGTAGGGATATGACCGAATAAGTAGAACGGGTAGCGCAAGGACACGCATGCGGTAGCGGATCGGCTCGCGATATTCTGTACATACCGCTTTGACGTAACCACGCGGAAAGGCGGGGGACCGTCGCTTCCGCGCGCGACCGACCGCATTCTCAAGTCAAGATGGACGAAAAGTTGATATTGTCCGTTTTTAATTTTCCTGAGCTGTATAATACAACTTTGCCAGATTACCGCAATGGTGACACAAGATCACTTGCTTGGCGGAGAATCAGCGCATTGACAGCTCTTCCAGGTAAGCTATGCTATTTCTACAAATCATCAAGTTTCGTTGATGCAAATGTTTGAGCTAACCTTAGCGAGCTAGCTAGTTGTAAGCAAGCTGACTTGTTTGTCGAAATGGGGTAAGTTTATAAATTATGGCGTTTGTTGTATTTTTTTAAAAGTCACGTGAGTAGCATCTGTATACGGTGAGTTTTAAGAGCACTTCACTGCAAGAACCGCGTGAATCATATTTAAGTCAATGGGGAGGCAGCGGCCGACGAATTCGTGAGCGCAGACTGCAGACACCGCGGCACGAGGGACATTTTTTTCCGTTCCCCACCGGCGCTGAGCCACGAGTAGCTTGGCATTGCATCTTCCACGCATGAATGAAATTAGCTAACAAATGCCATCAAATGGAGAGCACTGCACATTTGTAGCCGACCAACTCAATGGTATAGCCTTCCATTTACAGTTTATAAATAGGAACCCGATGAGGTTCCATTAATGAGGGAGTTATTTATTATACGCTGGCCGGGGTTAGACCGGGCAATGGCCGGTCACATCATCGTGCGAAAGCGGGGTCGGTTTGGTCATGTTGTCAACAGGGCAGTATATGGTGCATCGTCCAGAAACATATTTTCCATAAAATGTTTAACTCGTTGGGAAGGCAGATAAAGCGTTTTTATCCAAAGCAATCACTTTTGCATGGGAAAACACTGAATCCTACTAATTTCTAACGTCACTTTAGTGACTCTGTAGCTCAATTGGTAGAGCATGGCGCTTGTAACGCCAGGGTAGTGGGTTCGATCCCCGGGACCACCCATACGTAAAAATGAATGCACGTAAAAATGTATGAACGTATGTATGCACACATGACTAAGTCGCTTTGGATAAAAGCGTCTGCTAAATGGCATATTATATTATTACTTTTTGAGCCGATTTCGCGGTCGGACATAACGGGTCACCTAGCTCAAAGCCGGGCGCCACGGCGAGATTAATCGAACCCCCTCATTGGGACAGAGAGACGTGTTCAATCACCTCTAAAATTTGTATGCTCCATTTTTTTCCTGACTCATTGGCCAAAAATAAATAGTTAATCTTACTAGCTACTTTGATTTTTTTTCTTCCATTTAGTCTAATATTTTCCATGTTTAGCTCGTTCAATATGAAATGCATCAAATTAAGTATTTTGATATGATGAATCCATATTGCATAATCAATATAATTGATTTATCCCTTTAGCTGAAGAATGCAAAAGGAAATGGAAGAATCTAAGAGACCGATACTTCAAGGAAGTACGACAGGAGAAAAGGAGTAAGGAGGAGACAGGGGAGCGCACCACCAGCCGATGGAAATACAGACAACTTCTGAACTTTCTTCAACCATTCATTAAACCCAGAAACAGCAATGCGGACCATGACAACCAGGACAGCCCTGACACAATCAATAAAAGCACACAGAGTGAGATCAAACCTGTCAAAACACTCAACACAGCCCTGGTAAACAACATGAAAACCCCTACTACCCAGGTTGGGACCATGTCGCAGCTAGCCTTTGTGACCCAGCTGTCCCCAGCACAACAAGGCACCCAGATGGCCCAGCTGGCTTTCCTGGCCAAGCTACCACCAGGCGCCCAGATATCCCCAGCGCCCCAGCCATCCTCAGTGCCCCAGCTATCAACATACACAACCAGGAAGAGACCTCAGACACTACAAGAGTCACCTGCTTCACCATGTTCCTCAAGCACTCCTGCCAAGCTCTCCACAAAGAACAGGAGGCTGCTGGCAAAAGAGAAAGATCACAGATCAGATTCCACGATCCCTAACCGGCAGTGTGACGAGGATGAGATGTTTCTCCTCAGCTTCGTTCCTGCCTTGAAGAGGCTAGCGCCACAAAAAAGATGCGAGACCAAAATGAAGATCCAACAGATAATGTATGAGGCAGAGTTTAGTGTAGATCAGCCAGTGACTGTCAAAGACCCACTGGTGACAGTGTCCAATGAACTGCCAGAGCCCGTGCCTCAAGAAAACCAAGGGCCAGTGTCACAAGAAGAGCCAGAGACATAACTCGTTCATTTTTGTAGGGTCTACAGGGGTTGTTCTCTGTGGAAGTTTAGATATTGTTTCTTTGGACCTAAAGTATTTTTTGTAAAATATATATATTTTAAATCTCTCTCCTAAAAGTTGAAGAGGCAAGTTATTAATCTTCTGTTTTTAGAATAATCACATTTTTGGTGGTATCATATTGAGAGGTATACTTTATATTTTTCACAATAGTTGATTAACAACCAAATCTTAAAACATTTGCTGTTATGAATGCAAGTTGTTAACCAAATTGAAAGGGCTGTTATTCTGTTTCTAATTTAGAATGTTTATTTGACTGGCATCATTAAGTGGTTGCAGCCTGATGATAAAAACTTTGACTACCCATATGAAGGTGTATATGTTTAAAGATCTCTCTCAGTAGGATATGGCGCAAACAGTCTTTATTACAGATGCTATTTTAATAATCAGTTTATTATAATCATCCATTCTTTATGACAATATTTAACTATTTTTTTATTACAGTGAGAAAGTTGTAAAGTAAACAAAATCTTAAATTAGTGAGGGAGAACACTATCAAAAATAACTATCAGTTACTCTTCATGACATTCATCTTGCTAGTTGTCAGGTTGAAGAAAACAATATTTTATATCGTTTGCACATTCCTCCCCCCCCTTTATTATATAAGCATATGCATTAGAATTCTACATTTTCCTTTGGAATAAATAATAGTCTTACTAGTGGCAGACAATAACAGTATCATTCAACTAAAAAATTACTCCTTTAAATTGTAATCTTTTATCCTTCAATTTTGTAACTTTATTTTCTGAAACATGAGAAATAGTCTATCAAAATAGCTCCTAGGGCAACTGAAGACATACCGGTTAATGTCATTCAATAACTTAAACCCATACCAATACTGCTCTTTTGGACTATTCCCCTGCTGACACCACACATAAATGCACCACTATTGTTAATATGGCTGCATACTGGTAATGGTACCCAAAAGGCAATTGTTGTGTCAATAATTTAAGTCTATCACATTTACATTTACGTCATTTAGCAGACGCTCTTATCCAGAGCGACTTACAGTTAGTGCATACATTATTCTTTTTTTTCTTTTTCATACTGGCCCCCCATGGGAATCGAACCCACAACCCTGGCGTTGCAAACGCCATGCTCTACCAACTGAGCTACCTCCCTGCTGGCCATTCCCTCCCCTACCCTACCCTGGACGACGCTGGGCCAATTGTGCGCCGCCCCATTGGTCTCCCGGTTGCGGCCGGCTACAGCAGAGCCTGGATTCGAACCAGGATCTCTAGTGGCACAGCTAGCACTGCGATGCAGTGCCTTAGACCACTGCGCCACTCGGGAGGTTATCACCAATGATACATCTCTTCCTGAATTGATAAATTCAGTTCAGAAACAGGACATACCACTCATAATCTATATCCATACAAACACAGAGGGTATATCTGGTACCTTACATTTACTGATTTGCCATCTTTCTTTTAATATCTGGTTCTATATTGCCAGCCATGTACACTTAATGTCTATTAAAAAAACATAACCTTGATAGAAATGAAGAGGTAGGACCATTTTAAGACTATTTCAGACTTCTGTAGGACTCATAGTACAGATGTAATCACACAGTTTGTAATCTCAATTACTGAAATTAAACCAATAGCTAGCCAAGTCAAGAGGACAAAATCAAACAAGTATCTGAAAACAGAGTATTAAGAACTGTCCAACTTGAGCCTTGGTCCTGGCTGCCCATACATTTATGCAATTAGTAGCCAAAACATGATCACCAGAGCCACAAATAGAAAGAGTTGAGACAGGAACTGTTCATCCATGTGCTGGGGGGTCCCAGGGGCAGCTGTGTGGGGTAACCAGTGGAGAGTGAACAACTTCTTTTCTAGGTAGAGGGGGCCATTCACAATACATTTTTGATGAAACATTGTTACAATGCTCAACCTGCAGAGCTAAAGTACCTGGGGGTGGTCTTCCATCGTTGATGTTAAAAGCTGTAGCGAAAATTCCAAATGGAAAGGCACCAATGCCAAAAGACATCTGGAATCCTCCATCTCCAAAACCGAACCCCTGAAATCCCTGTGATGGGACGAAAGAGACCTTCCAATAACATTGCACTGACAGGGTTATAACATGACTATTCCATATGTACAAAAAACTTGACTAACAGGTGTTGAGGGAGAGATGATGTGACGCAATCGCTAGTGCTACGTTTTGTCATTCTCAAGGGGTCAAATAGAGAGCCCTCTTACTCTTCAGGCAGTGCTTAATAGGTACCAGTGAGACAGGTAATTCTGCTAATGAATTCAGCTATGGGCAGGTTTTCACTACAGCATCCCATGTCATAGTTTCATCATGAACGGGTAGTGCAATACAGCAGCCAACATTGCAAACACAGGTGATACACAGTAGAACCATCTGTATTGAACTTTACCAAAATCCTTGCTAAATAATTGTGGACAGTCTGAAAAGTGAGAGTAAATGCTTGGTGATGATAGTGCTTGTATTACACAGTACTTACACCACGATTTTCAGGCTCTGGCCTCTGTCCTTGTGGTCGAGGAGGCGTTCGCTCCCTATAAAAATGAGAGACAAGTTGTTGACAGCAGTAGTTTGGGATGTGGAATTCAGAGTAAATAACTGAAGATTGTATGCAAACTGTGCTCCTTTTTTTTCATGTTTTGAGTGCATCAACCCACCGTGGGTCCTGCTGGCCTGTGCTTCCCCTGCCATATAGTGGGATGACTTTGTCTTGACTGATGCCTGCCTTGCACACTGGACACACCTGTCTGTTAGGTCTGGTCTCCAACCACTGCATAAACATTGGGGGGGGGGGGGGGGGTAAGATTACATGACACATTCAGAGTAGCAGTAAAACATCCATTGCTAAAGGGTCAGGTGGCAGCTGATGACAGTGGTTGTGTAAAATAAGTTAGGTATCAATTGACTTACCTGATGTAAACACGGCCAACTAGATGCGACAGGGAATGTAAAGAATGGGAGACAGAAGAGATACATTAAATTACTATATTAAATTATGTGCACAAGACCCTCTCCTGAGTAACAGATAATAAGGATGAATGTCACTCAATCAATCACAAATACAGTACAGCGTCAAGACAAGAGGGTGTTTACCAAAAGAGATGCCCACACAGACTGATCACCGCATCCTTGGAAGTGTCCAGGCAGATGTTACATTCGAAGGTGCTGTCCTGATTGCCACCCTCCCCAGCAGTCGAGCTGTTGGGGTTCTCAGTGGCGGTCGAGACAGCGGCTGGTGGAGGTGCAGCGCTAGCCATTGTTTCCACAGATCAGGAGATAGAGTGGGGTGATCTATCTAGCCGTCCCCCTTGCCTGTAGATTAGTATGTGTAAATGAATCCAAACAGATGAGAATCGAGATATACCAAAGTCGAACTTGCGTTATCATTTACAATAAATGTTCAGAGAAATGTTGCTCAACAATGCTCCAGCGGCGTTAGTAAAGTTACCACATTAACTGACGCAGCAGCTGGATCCAGTGTGGCTAATTTAGCTAGCTAACGTTAGCTAGATTAGCAAAACGTTTATGCTAACGTTGCGCGTTAGCTAGAATGTAGCTACTACTTTAGCTAGCTACATAGATAAATGAACGGCGTAATATAAAAATACACAATTGACTACCTCCTTGCGTTCATCAAACAAATCCTCGTTGTCGTGGGTAGAGATATCTAGGTAGAAAGCCACCTATTCTGTCAAGTTGCCAAGTTAAATTCAAGTTTCAGCTGATAGCATCACTGTAGTTAGTATCCAGAAGTTGTTTGATGATTACTTGTGATCAGCTGGCCGTGTTCGAGAGGCACAAAACCGCAATGTATCATGGGTAAATTGTGATGATCTACAAAACTATTAATTTCATACATTGTAGTTATTTCCCACCTCCACCGGAATGTGGTAAGAGCGATTACATGATAGGATAAATATGATTAAAGATGACCAACGCAGAAATCGCTCTGCCATTTCCTGGATGCAAAAATTCTAATAGTTCGTCTAATTTCAGTCTGTGACAAAACAAGCAAGTATAGTGTAGAGAATACTTGTACCATCTAAACCGCTGTGAATTATTTGAACCATAACCCAAAATATTGTATTTTCAACTGTTAGAAGCTGGTGAACAAAACCGAAAGTAAAAGATGCAAGAACGAAACTTAAAAACGGGAAGCACAGATCTACCATTTAGACTTGCTTTCAATGAGAATGACAGCTATATAACTCACATTTCTATGTGAATTGTGTCAGATCCCCCCAAAAAGCTACAATCGCTTTATAAAGCGTAGTGAGGTACCTTTCCTTTAGCGTGCTTTGGACTTACAAGGCGACACCAAACCCTGTTTCGAGAGCATCAAAATGACTGCAGGGCGACGACTGACTGATCTACAAATCACCTTGCATCATAAATAATGACTAATTATTATTTGTAGATCATAAGGGCATTGGAGTAAAAAATTTTGACACCTAAGTAGGTTACAACATCTTTGACAGAAATGTCACATATTCTAGGACTCACTGCATCTTTAAGTGCTAAAATTTCACATTTTGTAATATTCAATACCAAATCTAACACTTGAGAGAATTGCTCTACTGAATGTAGGGCTACTGGAACCTGATTTTTTTTTTTTTTTAAACAGGGTTGTATGGTCGGCTACACACAATACCCCATCATGACAAAGCAAAAACAGGTTTTTAGAAATTTTTGCAAATATATTTAAAATAAAAAACATAAATACCTTATTTACATAAGTATTCAGACCCTTTGCTATGAGACTCGAAATTGAGCTCAGGTGCATCCTGTTTCCATTGATCATCCTTGAGATGTTTCTACAACTTGATTGGAGTGCACCTGTGGTAAATTCAAATGATTGGACATGATTCTGAAGGCAACCACCTGTCTATATAAGACCCCACAGTTGACAGTGCATGTCAGAGCAAAAACCAAGCCGTGAGGTCGAAGGAATTGTCTGTAGAGCTCCGAGACAGGATTGTGTCGAGGCACAGATCTGGGGAAGGGTACCAAAACATTTCTGCAGCATTGAAGGTCCCCAAGAAAACAGTGGCCTCCACTCTTAAATGGAAGAAGTTTGGAACCACCAAGACTCTTCCTAGAGCTGGCCGCCCAGCCAAACTGAGCAATCGGGGAAGAAGGGCCTTGGTCAGGGAGGTGACCAAGAACCCGATGGTCACTCTGACAGAGCTCCAGAGTTCCTCTGTGGAGATGGGAGAACCTTCTAGAAGGACAACCATATCTGCAGCACTCCACCAATCATGCCTTTATGGTAGAGTGGCCAGATGGAAGCAACTCCTCAGTAAAAGGCACATGACAGCCCGCTTGGAGTTTGCCAAAAGGCACCTAAAGGACTCTCAGATTCTCTGGTCTGATGAAACCAAGATTTAACTCTTTGGCCTGAATGCCAAGCGTCACGTCTGGAGGAAACCTGGCACCATCCTTACAGTGAAGCATGGTGGTGGCAGCATCATGCTGTGGGGATGTTTTTTAGTGGCAGGGACTGTGAGACTAGTCAGGAATGAAGGAAAGATGAACGGAGCAAAGTACAGAGAGATCCTTGATGAAAACCTGCTCCAGAGCTCTCAGGACCTCAGACTGGGGCAAAGGTTCACCTTCCAACAGGACAACGACCCTAAGCACACAGCCAAGACAATGCAGGAGTGGCTTCGGGACAAGTCTCTGAATGTCCTTGAGTGGCCCAGCCAGAGCCCGGACTTGAACTCAATCAAACATCTCTGGAGAGACCTGAAAATAGCTGTGCCGCGACGCTCCCTATCCAACCTGACAGAGTTTGAGAGGATCTGCAGAGAAGAATGGGAGAAACTCCCCAAATACAGGTGTGCCAAGCTTGTAGTGTCATACCCAAGAAGACTTGAGGCTGTAATCGCTGCCAAAGGCGCTTCTACAAAGTACTGAGTAAAGGGTCTGAATACTTATGTAAATGTGATATTTCCGGGTTTTATTTGTAAAAATCTGTTTTTGCTTTGTCATTATGGGTTATAGTGTGTGGATTGATGAGACAAAAACACAATTTAATAAATTTTAGAATAAGGCTGTAACGTAACAAAATGTGGAAAAAGTCAAGGGGTCTGAATACTTTCTGAATGCACTTGAAATCCCAATATTCCATCAAGTCCAAGACCAGCCTGATTGTTTGAAATATGACTCCCTTTAAAAAAATCCAGATTGGCACTCACTAATCAAACTACATAGACCATATTTGCTAGAATGGAAGCTAGTATCTTATAATCGCTGTTTAAGAGTGTAATTGGGCGCCAATTATCAATAAATAATGTATCCTTATGTGGTTTAGAGATAAGAGTAATAACACCTTGTTTCAATTAGGCTGGTAGCTCTCCTTTTTCTATAGTTTCCAGTATATGTGGCAAGTAAGAATTATGCTATGAGATCCCCAAAAGTTTGATAGAATTCAGAGGTTAGCCCATCATTACCAGGGAATTTGTTATTTTAAAACTGTATGATACCATATTTGATCTCTATGGTCAAATCTTCACAGAAAACTTAATTGAATTCCTCATCAACAGAATTGCCATCAGGAATGGAGCTGAATATTTGATTTGAGTTAATCAGGCCAGAGTCAAATGAGTACAAATTATTATAAAAGTTTGCAGGGAAGTCTGATATTGATCTATTATCCTCAGTGACTATGCCATCAATGTGGAGTATCTTAACCATATTCAGTTCACCTCTTCTCTTTTCCAAATTAAATAAATACCTGCTGTTCTTTTCACCCTTTTCTAACCACTGTTTTCTAGATCTTATAAAGGCACCTCTAGCTTTATCCTCATATATTTTATCCAATTGATTTTTCAAATAATTAAGTTGAGCCTTATCATCAAGATCATAGTTATCTTTTTCTGTGATATCAGTTATTTATTTCATTAATTTCACTATATGAGCTCTTCTTCTTTTAGCATGCTCTTTCCCATAAGTAATAATAGCCGAACCTGTTCGGAACTTCAACAGTTCCCAAGATTGACCAAATTCCCCTTGGGTAAGAGCTAATTTTCAGTGTGTATACATTAACCCCTGAATGAAATCTTTTAGATCTTCATGAAGTAATAATGAATTATTCAATTTCCAATAGCCTCTTGTAAAACACACACCATGGACACTAATTACCTTCCATTTTTAAAACTACAACCTTGTGATCTGGCAAAACTGCTGGCAAAATATGAACTTCAATAGTATATGGCTCAAGACTGGAGGATATCATCCATAAATCAATTCTAGATTGTAAGGAAAAATCTTTGTTACTCCAAGTAAATTGTACTTCTAATGGATTGTTTACCTTCCAGATATCAACCAAATATAAATTCTGACCAAAACTCAGAAGTTTGTTTACACCAACATTAGGCCTTGGAGGCAGCCTATCCGCCCATTGTTTTCAAGGTAATCTACTCACGTTCGCATACACCAATTCATGGACTCAATATCCGGGTTGCATCTGGTTTATACAGACCAACATCACATGTGCACTAGCACTCAGTGCGCACAGGGAGCAGCGTGAGCAGTAACAACGTCATCATGTCATAAAAAACATGGCAGACATTGGATGAATATAAAATGTTAATATCTTCGCCTGTGAGTGATTTAAAAAAAAATCGGCCTCAGCGACAATTATTTTAATAATTCAATGGATGTTTTGTGTACAAAGGTGATGACTAAAATGTCTTATCAGGAATTTTCTAATATTTTTTCTCCATGTGGCCGTACATGGACATTCTCTTTCTGGGCTGGACGTCAATTAAACTGCAGTACCGAAGCAAAACTGTAGGAGAAGTCGAAACCGTGCTTTTAATTGAAAAATTCCTATTAAGACACTTTAGTCATCACCTTTCTTTGATGACAATAAAATGATAGCCGTTTAATGTCAGACCAACTGTGCTGGAAGGTAGGTTGAACACCCCCTTTCCTGGGGGCCAGTTTTATGACTTAACAGCCTGTCATAAATAGTTTGCAGAAAAGTACTCCTTTTGGTCTCTAGTATGGGAAGAAAGAATTTCCTTGTGAGACAAAGGAAGTCTTCCCGCCAAGACTCCAACATCAAAAAGTGGATATTCCTACTTAAAAGAATGTGGGAAATGGTCAGTGGGGATCTAAAGAATAATCATGTCATATTGTGTATTATTTTGTGATGTCATTAAGGATGGTATCAAGTAATAACTGTAACTCGGAAAGTGTACATATTCTATCTATCAAGTTTACATCTAAATGTTGTATAAAATATATGATTAAGTATGAGAGTATTTTGGTGAAGATAGGAATGTGATTTTAGTCTTCTAATGAGATA